TCAAACAGTCTTATCGTAAATGGCTTGTCAGAAAAATGATCTTAAATATTGTAAGCATTTAGAAGATTTGTAATTAATAAGCATTAATTAAATAATCCGACAATATTTTGAAAGTCCAAAACCGAAACTAACGGTAAGTCGAACTTCCGATTTGTCGAAGTTTTTCGTCAGTCCTATCAGATTCGAGTTATCGCAAATTCACTGTATATATATATATATATATATACATATATTACAATGAAGAAAAACAGGATAAAGAGAAAATCAAAGAAAATTAATAACTTTTATTAATAAGTTAATTCGTCTAAAAGACTGTGCAAAACGGGCAAATCATGTTTCTCTCTTTTTTTTTTAAATAAATTTTAATTTTCTTAAAGCATTAGAATTGTATAATTAAATATTAACCTTATTAATTTTAAACTTCTTTAAATTATCCAGTATAATATTATTACCTTGTGCACATTTTCGGATAAATCTTTGGTAACTAACAAATCAAACACGCTTAAGTACGGCAATAAGAATTGCCATCTATGTACGCTTTTTTAGCTAGATTTGCGCTTTCGTTTTCACATTTTGTAATCTGGCAATCTTAATACAAAAATCATGCTTGAAAGTTTCCAGTACATGTAAGTTCATTTGAATTTGTTACTCACTTTATAAATTCTGTTTTGTGTTTTGTTCTGTTTTTCATTTACATTTAATGGTTTTTTACATAATATATTTTTTATTTAATGTGTTCTATTTTGTTGCAATTTTTTTAGTGCTCCTTACACTATCGTATTAATATATTTTGTTTCGGCTATACATATTCAATATTAGAAAGCACTTCATTTTTTGCGGATATAATCGTATGAGCAGATTATTAGATTATATTGCTATATTTCTTTTAAATTATTTAAATTATTTTTTAAATATTTCATTTAAATAACATATATATAAATATATATATTAGTTAAAAAGAAAAAAAATACATAAGAAAATGTTTTATTTATAAGCTTATCTGGAAAAATTCAAATAAAACAATGCAAATTTTGCTTTTACAATTAATAAACACAAAAAATTTATTTAAATCAGATTTTTTTTATTTCAAAGCAAAATTTAAAAGACATAGGTTTGTTAACGTAATAGGAGAAAACTAAATGATTTGAATTTTGCACTGTAACTATCTTAAAATTTCAGTTTTAGGTTTATTGATGAAATACACTAAATTTGAATACACATACTAACTACCCTTCACCTTTACATTAATGCAGCTCAATAAATTAGTCTTATTACACATGATTTGCAATTAAATAAGTATGACAATATATATTCTTATGGGAAAGACAGGATCATTATCATAAAGCTATTTTTTTTACTTTCTTTAACAATATTTATAGTTCAGTAAAATCAGGTTTTTTTAAATCTTTACCACAATTTTTCCTTTCACTCACTGTTGAACATCATAAGGATAACAGATTTTCAGTGATAGTTTTATACCTCCCTCCTCACTTGGAAAAAAAAAACATCATGAGTTATACATTTTGTTATCATTTAGTTTTGGTTGGACTTATTTCAAACTTTGTATTTAAACAAATAACTTAAGATATATCTTCACTCAGAATTTGAAGAAAATAAGTGCCAAAACTAAATAAGAGCTTTTTTTAGGGGTGATTAAAAAACTTTATTCAATTAAAAAAAATAAAAAAAGTAGACCATTTTTTAAAATTATATATTTTTCCTGTTATTAAAATAAGTCAAGTCATAAAAATAAATTTTTTTTAGTCAGTCATATAAATAATTCAAGATTAACTTTAAGAATTTTAAAATGTGGAAAGGGAAAAAATCAATTTTTCTTCATCAAAAAGTGGCATTTAGTACCCATTATATTAGTATAGTTGCATACCTATTAGTATGCACCTTTAATGTAATTAAATTAAATTTTATGTATTATGAAACATTTTTTAAACTAAATGTAACAAAATAATTAATTTAAAGTGATATATCAAATAATTGAATTTGAATGATATAGTAAAGCATACAGATTTGGAGAATTACATCAAAAATAACTTAAACTCTGGTTAAACTTTATTTGATTCTCTATGTCAGTGGATAATTGATAGCTATATTTTTATATTCTGAAATCTAAAATCTTTCACTTTACTTGCATCATTTTAATGCAATTTTACTTAATCTATAATAAATAAATATTATGAACAGTTTTAGAATAAGTAAAATAGCAGAAATGTTTTACCAGAGGTGCATGGGGATATTTGAAAAAATTGATGAGCATCTCTAAATCAGCAGCCGAAATTCTGCATTTTGACAAAATCACAAAAAGTTCCATTGTCATTGTCTGGTAATCTAATTAACAGAAAATATTAAATTAAAACACACAGTGAAATTTTGCTAAAATATTTTATCAAATTATTATTATATTATTATGATAGTTCTACTAAATGTCAATTTAAGAAGGGTAGAGTGTAATGTAATAAATTGTATGAACCAAGAAATCACCATTTTGAAAACTGATATGAAGCATCCTTTTCATATAAGTTTATAGCTTAGAATGAAGAACATGAAGTAAGTAGGATAATTAAAAGTCTTAATATTTATTTTAAAAAGAATTTAATATTATTTGATAATTTTAAATTGTTGTATCCAATATAGGATATACCATATAGTTTGTTTAATAAAGAAAAATACAATTTAGAGTGAAAAAAATTAATAGAATCCTTTTTAGCGAACAATCGTAAAAATGGTATCTTTTTAATTTCAATCATTAATTTTTTGTTGATGAACACCCATAGGCAAACTCAAATATTATAAGTAAATTAGCTTTGTCATAGAATAGGAATTAAATACTATGCAATAGCAATAAAAGCACTACATCTATTTTAAATGAGAAATAGTAAAAATGCACAAGTTTTTTCTGAACAAACAAAAGAAATAGAAGATAACTATTTTTGATAAAAAACTTTTACGCGTGGCACAATTTATTAAAAACTTAAAAATGAAAATATAGAATACAATCGATAATGTTTTAGATCATATTTTCATGGTAAATTTTAAAGAGAAAGTTGGAAAATATTATTTTGTGGACTTTTTTTTAAATCTAAATTTACTTATCGAAACTTTTTACAAATGAAAGATATGTACTAACAAAAACCTCATATCATGAACATTACTCTTAGTATATAGAATAGGTGTCTCAAGGCTGCCAATTTTCCCCACTCTCCACACTTTCCCCTTCTTTACACAATGGTAACAGAAAATTTTGCTTTTTAACCATGGCAGTAAGTTTCAGAATAGAAATGGGAATATACTTGCATGGGGAATAATTGATTAGCAAATAACATGGTAATAGAGAGAGGGAAAGTATAGAGTTGAAAAATCATGTAACCTAGAAAATCCAATTCTATTTACAAAGAGTATCGAAACAAATTCTTTGTATATAAAGATCATGAACAATGCTCTTTGTAAATAGAATAGGTGTCTAAAGGATACCAATTTTCCACACTACCCACATTCCCCCTCCCTCTTTTCACAATAGTAACAGAAAATCTTGCTTTTTTCTCATGGTAGTAAGTTTCAGAATAGAGTAATTTTCAGAATAGAAACTTACTCTATTCTGCAGTTAGTTTCAGAATAGAAATTGGTATATACTGGCATGAGAAAAAAATTAGATTTGCAGATAACATGGTAATAGAATGGGGTAAAGTATGGAGTGGAAAAATCACATAACCTTGAGAATCCAATTCTATTTGCAGAGTATAGATACAAATTATTTGTATATAAAGATCATGACCAATATTCTAAGTAAATGCAATAGGTGCCTCAAGGATGCCAATTTTCACCACACTTTCCCTCTCTTTTTACAATGGTAACAGAAAATCATGCTGTTTAACTATAGTAGTAACTTTCAGAATAGAAATGGGAATATACTGGCATGGGAAGAAATAGATTTGCAGATAACAAGGTAATAGAGGGGGGGGGGAGTATAGAGGGTGGAAAAATCACATAACCTTGAGAATCCAATTCTATTTACAAAGAGTATAGAAACAAATTCGTTATACGTAGATGAGCGGTAGCCTTAATTATGTGAATAAATTTAACTTCAACATATAGGGGGAACACAGGAAAATAGAATATTTTAAAGTAAAATAAATTGAACAAATAAACCAATGAAAATACAGTAGGGAACCGATTATCCGGAACGATCGGGACCATCGCTATTCCGGATAGCTGATTTTTCCGGTTTTCTGAATTGCTACAAAAAGCCTTTTTTTTTATTGTTAAACCCAACTGAAAAAAAAAAAATTTGGAAATAATCTTAAAAATAAGAAAAAACTATGAAGTAATACACTAATGATTATTTCGAAAATGATGATAAGGTAAATATCTTTAAAAAAAAGAAAGAAAAATCGCAAAATCTCAAGAGGAAAACAAAATTTTTTTTTAAAAAATGGCGATAAAATTTATCGAATTTCGTTCCGGTTTTTTGGTTTTCCGGTTTTCTGATTTCCGAATAACGGGTTCTGTACTGTATTAACAAAAGTAGATGTATGCAAAATGCTTCTTTTTAAAAATCATATCAAAATAAAATATTAACACACTTTCTCACTGCAAGAAAAGGCAAATAAACATAATAGTAAGAACAAAACTTATGTACACCTACTAATTTGATATTGACTATCAAAAGGAAAAAATTCTTTGCCAGCGTAACAAAATAAGAACATTTTAAAAATGTTCAAAAATAAGCAACCATTAAAAAACAAAGATTAAACAATTTTAAAATGTAAAAGTCTGTGAGAGAGAAAAAAACAAATAATGAAAAATAACAAATTATAATACTTCTAAAATAAGGAAAATATTTTAATCAACAATTAGATATTTAAAGTTAGTGTATGTCATTTTATTTTCTGGTGGAAAAAAAAAATTAAAAAATTTTCTGTTATCATCCTTCAAACATCATTTCTCTTAATCTGATAAAAGTTTTTGAATGATATAATAAAGTTAATCTTATTATTAAAGATAGAGCTTTATGATTATAAGATAGCGTCATAATTTTCATAAATTAAATCAATAATAACAGAAGGAAATCTACATTCAATAATTATGGTTTTAGAGTGCACAAGTTTCCTTATTTATGACAAGTTTGTAATTGAGCAAACATTTTCTTAAAGAAAAACAGAATAAAAATAATATGCATTATTTATTATTAAATGAAGGTCAATTGAATATCCATAATATATTTAATATTTTGGTTGTTTATATGAATTTTATTTATGCAAAATGTCAAAAATTAGCAAAATTAAAAAACAAATATATTTTTTTAATAACTGTATATGGAATAAATTATAAAAAGGTTATTCATTTATAAAAAAAAAATTCAATATATATTTCTCACTCAGTTTTTCAATTTAAAATAAAATAACAAAATTCAAGAAGAAACAATTACATTTCTCTAATAGTTATTTTCAATATTTTTTTTTTGAAAACCGTCATTCAGCTTATATTATTCATTTTTACCATATGCACATACCAACAACAAATTTATAATATTAAATAAATATTTCTCTTTTTAATGTAATATTTTTTTAAATAATAAGCACACTTTTTTTTGGTTGGCCCTGTGGCAGAATTTTTCTGGGGCTTTCTGTGACATGCAAATAATTATGGCTTCCCATGCCTGTATAGGTTGCATAGCAGCCAACATAGATAGGAAAAAAAATCCAGTATTTTTTACGAAATATAAATTTCATGATAATTGTTGCAAAATGTACTAATATTTTACACATAGGGAATTTTATAGTCATCGAAATAGAAAAACTGCAATATTTTCTAGTAATGATTAACATTAAATAAGCTTGAAATGTTATGTATTATGTTTACTCACAATTTTGAATAGTAATAGGCATTTAATTCTTGAAAGATAGTTAAAAATTATTTAATTAATTTAAAAAGAAAGTTCTGAATGAAAATGAACTTCACATTTCAGAGCAAAAAAAGTTTTGATTTAATATTAATAAATGAGGCTCGCTTCATTATGCTTTAGTAACACTAATTTAAATATTGAAACAAGCATTAATCAGTGCAAAATTTCTATTTCAACAGGGATTTTTTAAGGAGACTTGCTCAATTTTAGGAAATTTTCTAAAATATACAAAAAACAGGAGAATTTTTATGAAACCAGTAGATCAGGAGAAACTAGCAAAATCCAAATAGTCTATTGGAAAAACTAGTAGAGTTGGCAGCTATGGAATATTTTCTAATTGTGTAAAAATAATGAAATATAAGCTAGTTTTTAAAAAAAATTAAAATTACACTCTATAATAAGGCTTTTAATTTTTTGAACATAAAATCTTTTTTCTTAAATATCATAAGCTATTTTAATTTTTTTTTTAACAATTTGAATCACAAATTTTTTTCTTTGGGGGAGGGGAATTCTGCAAATAAATTCAAATACTGAACATTTTATTCATTTAATATACAACGAATAAAATATTTAAGTAATGTGTATGACATACTTATTCATAAAAACATTTAATGAAGAGCATGAATATATATACTTATAGAATCACAGGGCAGGTCTTTGAACGATAGTCCCAAACTTTGAAGTAATAAGGATGATATTCCCTGTATCAAAAAGACATTAAGATGTTAATTCACTCATACATACAAAAACATACATATGTGTCATGCAAATCAAGTTGAATTCCAAGATGCAGCATGCAATAATAAATTCTAATCTATTTTATCACTTTCTAACGTATAAACCAATACTAAACACATGCTATGATCAATATCATTTGGGGGCGTACAAATATTTCCTTCTACCAGACAGTTGATTTTTCATAAAGAAAACTGTCTATGCTTTTGTACTTGTTTTGAGTTCAGGGTTGCAAAAAATGGACAAGTCGACTGGTTTTCTGAAAAAGACCGGCTTTTATTTTAAAAAGCTGGTCTTTATTGGCTTTTTAATATTTTACTACTTAAAATTAACACCCAAGCATTTAAATTAGTTTTATTAATCACTATTTAGTGAGCCGAAATGGCTCAGGGGATAGAGCATTCTCCTTCCAATGAGGTAAACCTGGTTCGATCCTGACGATAACTTGCACCGACCACAGTGCTGATGTAAAAAGTAGTAAATGGATCGTGTTTTAGAGTCCCCTTGCCATCAGGCTAACCGAGGGAGGTTCTCATGGTCTTCCTCTCCATGTAACGAAAATGCGTGTTAGTTTCATCAAAAAGCCCTCCACGAAGGAAAAACTTCTCTCAATACTTAATTCAGGAGTTCCCTTGTCTTCTAGATTGGGTTTAAAATCCCAAGGCTAGGGAGTTGAACATTAGCAGTCGCAAACCCAAATATTGGGTTGGGTTGTTCGACGATGGTTATAAAATAAATACTATATAAAATCACTATTTAGTAAAATAATAGAAGTAGAAGTAAAATACATTAAATTTTAGTTTCTTTTTATGGGTATTTATTTCATCAAAAGATAAAATGTTACAAATTTTAATGATGTAATTGCTGCTTTATATTTGCTTCAGAACCAACCATTTTTTCTGAAACTGTTCTAAACCTATTCAACCATGTTTTAATACCTCTTTACTTTGTTCTAAATTGATTCAGAATAATTATTTTTTAAACTTATACTAAATTGTTAAATAAATTAGGTCTTTTCTATAAAACTGTACAATCTGTTCGAAATAATTATTATATTCTGTTTAAAGAGTTGGAGAAATAGTAATTACAGTTAATTTTGTATTATTTATATACTTATACTACATTAAATACATTGATTTCTAATTGTAGTTCTAAATCAGGGTGCGTAGCCAAATTATTCAACAAAAAACAAGCACTTTTCAAGCACTCTAATAATATTTTTAAGCACTTTAAAAGAACATCATAATTAGGCAGGGTTAGAAAGTTTTTGACAATTGACGGTTTTATCTGGTTTCAATAGTCATGTAAAAAAAAAAAAACTTTTGTCATTGTTTTCGACAATTGTCAAAATTTTTGAATCATGTAAATCGAATGGCGTTTTCATAAGCTATGGTCTGGCGATGCACTGAAATAGATAGAGGTGGAATTAATTGTGAAAAGGTTGAATAGAACAATGTGAACAGTGTCTTTCTGCATAATTCGCAGCTAAAATCGACATCAATTTGGAAAAGGGAAATTTAAGCACTTTATAAAAACACCCAATGAAAAAAGCTCCTTTAAGGTCTTTTAAAAAACGAAAATCGAAAATAAGCATCCTTAAGCACTTTTTAAAAACTGCAAATAGTTTAAGGTTATTGTTCTTATTGCTTTCAATGTAAAAAATGCTGCTTCAAACAATTTCGAACTTCAAAATAACTGCTCGAAGTTTTTCCTAACATACAATCACATCAATGTAGAAATTAACAATTTTTTATATTTTTTATGTCATCACAGAGAAATATTTGTTTTAATAAAAGTCATCTTCTTTAATTTTAATCAGTTGTTATTTTAAATGGTTAAACACTTTCACAACAAGAAAGCCTGAAATGCCTCGACAAGCAGACAGCCGAAACTGCCCAGAAAGCCCAAAAAAATTAGATTGCACTTCTTCCCCCTTTTCTAAAATGATGTATAACAGGAGAGATGTAGTAGCTACAATTCCTGAATATAATCTAAGCAAAGAGATGATTGTAAGGCACACTTTTCATCAAAAGTTAGTTGTCTCATTTCGCTTTTAGCTGTCTTATTTTTATCTTTAGTTTTAGAGAACCAAAATGTCTAAATTCTAAGAAACTGAGACAGAAAATAATATTATATATTCATAATAGCACTCCACTTAATGTAGTAAAAAGTTACGAATACTACAGCTTTAACACAAACGAGTTAAACTATTCACTTTTTCCATCAAAACTGTGTAAATTGTCAAAGAAAAAGGTACAAGTGGAAATATTAAAGCTATGGTAAAAATTGTATTTTTTTTAAGCATTAAACTATTTAGTTACTGTTTTTTCATTAATATCGGTAAAAATATTTAATTAAAAAGGTTTTCGAATTTTTTTAATTTCATTGTAAGTTAAAACATTCTTAAAACGCAATGTGCACCTTACAGAGATTAGATGCCGTACCTTAAGGCTTTGTTCCCAACACATGGAATATAGCGTATGGCAGCAATAATGTAATATTTTTCACTTTATGTAGTGAAGTTAAAAAATATATTGATTAAAAAATAAAATGGATTCATGAGCTGAAAAAAATAAAATAGGAATAACAAAAATTGGAAATAACAAAAAAATATTTTGGGGGATCTAAGTACTATTTTACTAACAGGATTATTCACAACCGAAAACTTTAATTAAATGTTACTAAATGTCAACCTGGCCCAACTTATGAGCTAATTTACAAATAAGAAAAATGATAAATGGCATGAATGAAAATTACTAACCTGTTTGCATAAAACTACTCGATTAAATTCGCAATCTTGGCACATTTTTTTCAGAACTTGCATAACATGTAGGGCCGACTCAGACCATTCATTAGAGTGCTCACTTTGAAAATGAATCAAAAGCTCTATCAGAATTGCAACAATCTCTGCATGTTCTATGACACATTGGTAAGACATTTCATACAATGCTTTCTTATTGTTTAAGTTTCCTAAAATATAGTGATGAGATAAAACATTTTAAAATTTTAATTAAATCTAAAATCATTTAAACAGGGTGCATAGCCAAATCTTTAAACAAAAATAAGCACTCAAAAGTACTTTTCAGCACTATATACACTAACAAAATGCAAAATAATTTTCAAAGACTTTACATGATCATGATAAAATGACTAGATCCTGACAAAGAACTATTTTCTTGATTATATTAGCCCCCATGAGAAGATCAGAGAGATTTTTCGGTTCAATATCAGAGGGTGGAAAATGAAGCCTGAAATTGAAAACATCTTGCAAAATGCAGCCGAGTTGTACACGAGAGTGCAATGATCTCACCAAACCCAGCTCAGTAGATGCACATGTGGACTCACACGTATATTGTCAAACATACAAAATGATTGGTGCTTTCATATGCTATGGTCCGACGGTACGCCAAAATGGATTGTGGTTAAATGAATAGTGAAAACATTGAATAGAACAATGTGTAAAGCATGCTTTTGCATAATGCGTGGTGAAAATCAACATGGTAAAGAAAAAAATTTCATTTTCGAAAAGGAAAAATTAAGTACATTTTAAAAAGACACAATGAAAAAACCCCTTTAAGGACTTTTAAAAAAGGAAAATAAAAAATAAGCATCTTTAACCACTTTCTAAAAACGCTACGCACCATGCTAAAAGTGACATACCATTGCTTCCCTCTGTGTCACCACAATAACTTTCATTGGAGTGAGTTTCAGTTCCTGAAGATGAAGTTGTATCATCAATTACATCAAATGCATCTTGAAGCTATAATAACAAGCATAAAAATTTTAAAGCATTAATTAAAAGCTTTTTTCTTAGAAACAGCATACCATTAAATTTAATTAACTCACATGACTTGCTATTGTCACGACTCCTCTAGATCAGACACAACGGAGTGCTTTAGCCTAAAACCACATAGGCGTGATCTAAACATGCGTGCCTCAAACAACAATCTACAAGCCAATATTGGGGAGTCTATATTTTTTAATATTGAACCTAGAATGGCTTTCAAAAATGGACCAATATCATTTTCTATGTAGGTCCTTTAAATATTTATAATGTTGGGTAAACATTGAGATGTCTAGATTTTTCAATATTAGTGAATCTTGTTCCAATATTGAAAGTCATTCTAAGACCAATATTGAAAAATCTAGACATCTCAATATAGGTCCCTTGGCACATGTTCTGATGGGACCCATATTAGCCAATTTTGAGCCCAACTGCGGCCAATGTAAAATTGCTGCCAGGGGAGATTTAATAATTTTAAACAACAATAAGTATGTTCAACTATGCTTGTAGATTTTGCCCAGCATTACAAATTTTTATCAATGTTAAATCTTTCTCTTTCATATATAGCTAAGAGCATGTGAAGTTCTCACTATCTACATTTTTGGCCTTTTGCCTTAAATAAAATTAAAACTATAATTCTTCCATTACTGAATTTTTGAAGTATCACCAGTCACCATGATCATGTTCAAAACTCATACGTTAAAACCATAAACATACATATGTGCGGACTAGTAATTTGTGCTATCTTTCCTGATGAAAAAATTCTTGCAACACTCTGCTCTTTATAGCTGCGAAGTATTAAATACTTGAAAAAGAATCGGGATTTGAGATCTATAAATTACGTGAATACGAATCACGAGGTTTGAGTTTTGAAACAAATTAATATAAATTGCAAAATATGTAATTTATAAATCAGGAGAATGAATATTGCAATGTTTGATTTTAAAAGCGTGTGAAGTCCAAAAGAGGACATGCTGCGCCAAACAATACGGTAAAAACAGTTCAAAAGACATAGTGCATGCAACACTTTAATTGTTGTACAATTATAACTGATAAAATCGTTGATGAATAAAATCATATAGAAGGCATGAATAAAATCAGATAAAAAGGTGTGAATGTGAGATAAAATACATGAAGTAAGTAAAATGCTTGCGAAAGTGAATAAAATTGCAAATGTATTAAAACATTTATACACAGGTGAATAGCAATCCTTGATTTTGAAATATCTTGAAAAAGAATTGCGATGAGAGATTTTTTATTAGCTTAAACACAAGTCACGATGTTTGAATCTTAAATCGGAGAAGTATGAATCATGATAAGTAATTGATAAAGTGGATAAATGAGAANTTGAATAATGTGATAATATACCTATGTAGTAAAAAACAGCGTAATTATGAATAAAGTGTTGTGTTAGCGAAAAAATATATTTGGAAGTTTGAAGACGGTGGGGGGGGGGCGAGACGAGCATTGCCTAGGGGCCACGACATGCATAAGCCGGCCCTGATTAGGAATATAATTTGAGACCAATAGTATTTTGCCAATTTTAAGAGGGGAAATCGTTTGTTTTCCTTTTTTTACTTATCATTTAGAGCCATCAAGGAAATCAGGTTGTTGAAGATAAGAAAAAAAGCAACTTTTTTCAATAAATCTAATTTTAAAAATTTTTTTAAAAATTAAAACAAAAAATTATTCCAGCAGAAATTATCAGATTTTAGATATTGGAAATGAAAAATATAGCAAAATTTTGGTATTATACTGTAACACAATCACACCTGGTATTTTAACAATTACAAATCAAAGACAGAAACAACTACCAAAATAAACTGTAAGATATGCTTACATTCGTTTTATAAAATGAACTCAGAATTGTTATAAATTCAATGTACTGAAAGAGTTTGTAGGGGAATAAAATTTGATGATGGTTGCTTTATTCCACATTTCAGAGAATCAGGGGACAACAGACTATTTATACATCATTTTAAACAGTTGAGAACTAATAGTATATAAAATAAACCAATATTATCCTGCATATTAGGGACACACAACCTGCAGCACGCGAGCTGTTGATGTGTGGCGTGCAGCATCACCTGATCACAATGAAAAAAATAATTATATATACTGCTTATATTTTTTTTAAAAAAAATTTTAAAATCTAATATTCTCAAACATGCAGTCAAGTCATAACTTTTAAACACATTCAAATTACAGTGATTCCTGCACAAACGGTATGACAGCTGTTGAAGTGTGGCTTGCGGCATCACCTGATTATAATGAAAAAAAGAATTACACATATAGTTACATTTTTTTGGAAAAATAAAAAAAATCTAAAATTTTGATACTTGTATTCAAGTCATAACTTTTAAACATGCTCAAACTATGAAGATTCCATTGTAAATCTGTGTGATTTTTCAATTGTTTTTTGCTAGTTATTGCAACTGATTTCTACACGGTTCTAAAAACCTTAACATTTCTAATACGATATTACTACTACTTTTACACTTACTTTTGACATGCTTTATAAGTGTCAAAATCATCGTTTGTTCAAGTGATCTTTTAATCATATTTTCTGCAATTATTAATAGCTTTTCATGTGAATATTAAAAGTACATTATTCTTTAATACGTTATGATTCAAGAGTTTCAAATTGTGCATTTAAAAATAACTTTTGATGAGCTTTATTTGTGCTGATTTCATCGTGAACGCAAATTATTTTTCAACAGTTTTTCAGTAGAGACATTTCCATGTATTTTTGATATTTTTATTACTATATTATTATGACACTCAAATTTCAAATCGCATGCTTAAAAAAATTACTTTTTTCTCCTTCTGAATTTTAAGTAATTTTTTGATCTTTTTTAGCAGCCATAATTAGGGCTGAAAATTTGTCTCGGAAATAAGACCCGAAATTCGAGGGAAATTTTTAACATTACCCAGATTCTAAACATAAAAAAAATTTATATATAAATGATGCAAAAGACAAAAATTGCACAAATAATAAAAAAAAAGCTTAAAAAATACACAACAAAAGTATTTCTTTTAATTTCAAGCAATATTAGTAGTATTTTTACTTAAATGAACAGAATTTTGGTACAAAGTATTGTACATTGTCAGATTATTCTCTTTATGCTTAGTCTTTCATCAAATAAGACATTTTTATACGTAGAAAACGAACTTTCTGCGTCCACGCTGTTTTTAGGTACCGACAAACATTGAATTGCCACTTTTGCCTATTTTAGATAGTGTTCGGACTTCGATTTCCAAAACTCAATCAATTTTCCTTCATCAACGTGCAATTCCTTGACCGTTGCTTTGTAAGAAGTAATTGCTGTGAAAAGTCAAACATTCTACATTCAAACTGCTAGTTACAAAAGTCTTATCTCCCTCTCATCTAAGAAACTGATCCCTATTTAAGAAATCACAAGAAGCCGCCCAGGTAAAATTTTCTGGGTATGTAGAAAGGCAGTAGAAATTTCATTTCCCAGTGGAATAGCCTGTATAACAATTTTTCTGTCAAAGATTTGATTTATAAAATTTTCCTTCTTTTGCGATTCCAATTTCTTTTGCACAATTACTGACTTCAGGAAGGTAATCCTATCAGTCTATTACACTCCCTAAGTGTAGAAAGACCACCTTATTTGACAAGATTGTGATTATCTCTTACCTCTGAACTATTTTTTTGTCATTTTGCTATTGCTTCATTCCTCTAAATATCTAACCAATTTTACATGTTCAGTTTAAGGCTTCCGGAAAGTAAAAAATTCTATTAAATAAAAATAATAAATGGAAAAAAAATTCACAGTTTAAGCAATTTTCGCTCAAATCAAAACATATTGAGAAATTCACGGATTTTAGAAAAAAAGATGACGATTTCGAGGAAATCATAGCGGAAATTCGCACTGGGACAGACCTGCAGCCCTAGCCATAATTAAGCAATTTCACATGGTTTTAAAAATTCCAATATTTTAATGCATATTAATATGACACTTGAAACAGGGGGAAAATGTACGTTTCATTTGTGCATATTTCATCTTAAGTCTATGGGCTCGTTTTATCCTTAATGTTGGCAGTTATTTGCAATACTTATCCATGTGGTTTTTAAACTCCCAATATTTTTAATGCAATATTATTACAACTCTCAAGTTCAAAATTGCACATTTTAATAATTAATTTCAACTTGCTTAATTTGTGCCAATTTATTCGTAAGTCCAAGTTATTTCTTGATAATTTTTTCAAAAAATTTTTTTACTAATCATTTCCACGTGTTACTTAACAAACTAATATTTTAAAACATTATTATAACGCATGAAATTCAGAAATAAGTGGAGGAAAAAAATAATTTTTAACTGTTTATAACTTTGTTTCTAATTTTTGTAGCTTAAAGGACCTTTTAAGATGATCATGAAACCTCATTAGTCACTAAATATAAACATAATTAAGGAGAAAAAACAATGTTAACAAAATGTTGAATCTTATCTTGTACTATAATGCTTTTGTTTAAATTTAAATTATTTTAAACCTCATGAATTTTCTTTAATTTTCTATGAAAATTACAGAGCTAACTTATTTAACAAAAAAAATTTTTTTTACTATGGGATGTGATAAAAAAGCATAAATTTTCCCTTTATTTTATATTTATTTCGGTAAATCTATTTTTTGATAAGGAAATTTAACTTTTCAAAAACTATCAGAAATATTTAAAAGTATTTAACTTGACACATATACATTACAAAGTTGAGATAAAAAGGATTTAGGGCCTAAAACACTGATATTTTCATAAAAACTATCGTAATTGCTGTCAACAGCATAAATATTCGGGAACTTATTCTTCTATCCGTAGGGTTGCCACAGAAGAAAATGAACAAAGTCGTTGTTTTNGCAAAAGCGAAAAATCTCATCCCCGTATAAAGGTCAACCAGTTTTATCCCAAGGAAATGATTTTTAGAGAAACTTCAGAGGGAGGAATGAGGACTTCAATACTTTCGCTCCGCGAAAAATTAAATTCCTCATAAAATATTTTAACTTGTTCAAAAAAATTTTTTTCGCGGAAATTAGCGGGAAAAATCTGACCAAAAGCGGAAATCCGCGGAAGAATCACATCCCTGGCTAACTTATTTAACAAAAAAAAAAAATTTTTTATAATGGGATGTGATAAAAAAGCATAAATTTTCCCTTATTTTTATATTTATTTTGGTAAATCTATTTTTTGATAAGGAAATTTAACTTTTCAAAAACTATCAGAAATATTTAAAAGTATTTAACTTGACACATATACATTACAAAGTTGAGATAAAAAGGATTTAGGGCCTAAAACACTGATATTTTCATTAAAACTATCGTAATTGCTGTCAACAGCATAAATATTCGGGAATTTATTCGTCTATCCGTAGGGTTGCCACAGAAGAAAATGAACAAAATCGTTGTTTTAGTAGCCTAAAGCATAAATTAATAGTTGCCTAAAAAAGCATAAAAGCATAATAGTTGCCTAATTAAGAGCAAAAATTCATAAAGAATATGACTAAAATTTTATTAAATGACTTGTCATATACCATGATCCATTTAGTCAAGTTGGTGTCAAATATGATAATTTTTAAACAAACGTTAGTGTTATAGCATTAAATTTTGACATAAAAAAAATTAGTATGTTTGCAGAAAATTAATTACTTTTAATTGCTAGAATTCATTCAAAAAATGATTTTTCATTAAAAAGAAACATATTTTTTTCTAAAATATTTCCCCTTATCAATAATTGATTCAGCAAACCTGTATTGTAAAAAGCGATTACTCAAATTCGAAATTTACACATCGTAATATCGTGTTAAAAATTGGGTTTTTCAAAATCATGCAGAATTTCGTAGCAATTACAGTTGAAAAGGCAATCGAAAAACGAAATAGACTTACAATGAAATCTGTGCAAATTAAATTAATTAAAAAGCGATGACTCAAATTTGAAATTCAAAATTTTAAAAACTTTTTATTTTTAAAGAAAAAATATTCAGTGTGTTAAGAAGCTCCCGGGGGCCACAAGTTTTTAACCCAATTTATGCTTTAAAAAAACATCACAAGCAGTATAGAAAAGTCTCCCAAAAGTCTCATTTTCCTGAAAATAGTTGCCATTTTTGGCTTTTCCCGGCAAAAAAAAAAAGTCATAGTCGCTCCATGCCGAAAATAGTTGCAATTAGTTACATTTTAGTTGCCTGTGGAAAACCTGTATGTATCTGCAGTGCAAGTGGCCTTTCACTGAGAAAGGTTGTGCATCCCAAGAATATGATTGAGATTATAAATTGTTCCAACCTTTAAATGGGAAGAAGTAGAAACAAAGAATGGTGTAGAAAAACAGCACTTTAAAATAAAGTTGAAGAGTAGTCCAAGATGTTTCACATAATTAGGAAAATGCTTTATTAAATCCAACTTTACTTCTTCCAGAAATGAAATTCTTTCAGACTTCTAAAAAATATTTGAAAAAAAGAAGAAAAATTGAATAATGTGTGAGAAATTGGTTATATTTCTGTTACAAAAGCAGTTTTTTATTGAAATAATAAAAGAAAAAAATAATTTATACTAAATTCAAAGCATGCTCAAATTTAAAGTGCAATAAATTCTGCCATTGAATAATTACATTGGCAAATATTAAATAGCAAAATAATTAAAAAATAAAATAATTTTTTACCTTTTATTGAACTTTATGAACTTGTTATTTTTAAAATTAAGTTTTTTAAATTCACATTAATAAATTATTACATTCTATATCATTATACTAAAAGAATATTTTTTAGGTCCAGTCTTTTTTAAATAAATCTTATTATAAAATTAGATAATGATGAGATAATTTTTTCAGTGAGTGTTCTTAACAAAAAAAAAATTTTTTTTTTCAGACACATTACATTATTACCATAATCAAGCACTGACAAAACTTATAGCCAGTTGTAGTTGTTAGGAATTCTCATTAGTGTACTAATAGAATTATTTTATTTATAACCATCGTTGAACAGCCGACATAATTGTTTGGTTTATGACTACTATTGTTCAACTCCATAGCCTTGTAATTTTGAACCTAATTCAGAAGACAAAAGAACTCCTGTATCAAGCATTAGGAGAAATTTGCCTTCATGGAGGACTGTTTGATGAAAATAACACGCATTTACGTTGCAACGCATTTACGTTACATGGAAATGAAGATTATCCACGGTTAGTCTGACGACTCTAACCCATGATCCGTCTACCACAGAGGATATTTTACGCCAGCACTGCAGTCGGTATAAGCCGGATGGGGAATTCATATCGACCAGCCATTGCTGGGATTCGAACCCAGTTCACCTCATTAGACGGCAAAGGTTCTATCACCTGAGTCATCACGGCCTTAATAGAATTATTGTGACTATCACATTTGCTGTAAAATAAATCGATAGCTTTTCACAGACATACTTGGTCATATTTTATTAAAATGGGTCATATCTATGCCTTTTATCAGAAAAAGAAAAATATTCAATTAAAAAATCAAATTCAGCAAAATTTTATGAAAATAAAAGATTTTGAATAGTGATGCTAAATATTTTTATGGAAAAAAAGCTATGAAATAAACACCAAAGTCATAGATAAATGAATAATTGTTACATTTAATAAGGTTGGAAGTAGAGCAATACAAGTTGCGAAACTGCAGAGGTCGCTAATTTTTTCTTAGTTTGTAGTGATTCCTAGCAACAACTTTTTACATTTAGTAAAGAAACAATGCATATTCAAACACACAAAGTTTCCCTGTGGCAGAATCGTGGCGACATTGTCGCAAAACGTCACGTAGTTCTAGCAGAAAGAATTCTCCTTTAGAAAGTAAAAAATTCCGGTTTTCTTCACTGCAGAAATTTTCCAAAATTTTTCTCCTTCTAAAATTAAAATCTGGTAAATTTTTAAGTTAATTGCATTAAAAAAAGAAGAAATGCTGCACATTTTTGATAAGGAGAAAAAACAAAAAAAACAAGTAGAATTTAAAAAATGAAATGTATGAAATTTGTTTATCAGCAAAAGTATGAAGGCTTGTACACCCAAGTTTTTAATTTACCAAACAACTACCAAATGTTTATTTATTCTAATGCTAACAAATAACTTGTTCATAAATTTTGGTAAATCTTTAATCTATTTGCATTAAAAAAAAAGAAATATACTACATATTTTTGATAAGGTGAAAAAATAATATCCATGATTCTGCAAAATTTAAATATCACTAGTGTCAGTACAATAATAACAAAACTTAAACTTACCTCTCTCATATTTGTGACACAGACTGATAGTAGGTTTTGAGTCAAAAGTAACAAATATTTTGCTATTGCAGGTTTTTCCTCTACAGTTTGTTCTGTTAAAACTACATTCAAATTTTCTAACAAAGTAAAAAACATGCAATATCCAGACCGAAAACTTTTCTCACTTATAACAAAGCAAAAATATTCATTGCTCAAATCGGAGGCAATCTCTTGGTAGCATTTCCATAGATCACAAAGAATGCTGATTTCTTCTTCATTAATAACAACATTGCTGCTGTCTAACACAGTGGTGTCTTCAAACAATGAGGATGTTGATGATGATAAGTTTTTGTTGTACTTAGAATGGAGCAATGTTTCAAACTTTTGATGAAAATTAGAAGTTCTTTCTAATAGTAATAGACTAAAAGTGTTTGAAGTTGGATATTGTGAAAAAGTTGCAGATTTATTTTCATCATCAATTTCCATTCCATTTACACATTCAGATGATATTAAAATTTTAAACACTAATAAAGAGGCACGCCTAAATTCAGGCAATAAGATAAACTGATGGAGCATCCTCACGCCACCAAAACCAACAAATATGGCAGCCAAAGAATTATCACAAAGAGCAAGCTGTAGAATTGATAACATGCACTTACTTTTAATTCTAAAGAAGTCTTGCCCAGACAATTTGAGTGAATTCCAAACTTCAGGTAAAATGACTCGCAAAAAAAGTTGGTTTCTCAAATCAGATATACCATCAGAGAATATTCGAACTAAATGCCTAGAAATGTTTTCAACAACTTCAGCTGGAGCTGAAAGATTCAACAAATCACGATAGATTCCGAAGGATGACCAAAAGGGTGATCCTGCACTTAGTTCTGCATTCAGAAGCTGTATTTTATCCTCTTGGGATATGGAATTGCGCATTTTCTCAACAAATGCAGAAAGAGAAAATTCATTCTTGTTGACTCTTTTAGTACAAAAGATACATTCAGATTTATTTTTTGATAAGAGACCTAACTGACGATACAAATGCTTTTCAACGAGGATCAAAATAAAATTTTGTGATTCATATTCATAGTTGCTAAATTTACTGAAGACAGTTTTCGTGACGTAATCGGGGTTAATGCAGCAACATATTCCGCATATTTTTAGTAATTTAATCACTTCACAGTATATATTTTGAGACAAAGGTAGTGATAGCAATTCCAATAAAATAGAACTCATCTTCGCAACAGAACAAACCGGTTCTTTCGTAATTACACAACTGCTAGCGGATGAGCCGAATATGTCAAAATGATGATGGATTAGATTCCAAGCCCCCTCTCTCTCAGTACCGCAAACCACTGCTATTTTTTCAATCTTCATCAGTACTATAATATCTTTAACCAAGTTTGCTAAATCACTTATTTCTTCAAATGATTCTGTCGTATTTAATTTAGCCAAATATGAAACGAGCTTGTAGAAGTTTTGGCAGTTTGATACAAATGTCCATATCACATTAATAACTTTAGAAAATTCATAGCAACATAATTCAACTGTATTGTATATTAGCAACAAACAACCTTTATATGTTTCACAAACAAAATGTAAACTATTCTCTTCTTGGAAAAATGATACAGTTTCACATATTGATAACAGGGATGAAACAACCTCATTTTCCTCTAGAGCACCAGTATAAGCTAATAAAAAAATAATTAAATATAGATATCACACATAATATTACAAATAATAACTTATAAAATTTAAACAAATTTTAAAGTTCTATAATTATATGAATTTAAATTATATTAATTTTTAAACATATGACATTAAAACTTTTCCTTCAAGTTCAGTTTGATAATTTAAATGTATTTACTACTGGGTAAAAAATAAGAGATTATTTAACTTAGAGAAATTTTAAATTTAAATTTCTATTTTGTTTTCCTAGATTTGAATTTTTATTCCAAACTTAAGAAGTTTAATTTTATTTCAGGTTGCGTCAGAACTTTGGATCCTACAGACTTACAGTTTCTAAAGTCTAACGGAATCATTGGTATGATTTTTAAAAAAAAACAGATTCATTCTTTACAAACAAAGATACATTATGGTAAAATAGAGTAACACCATAATTGCAAAAATATTAAATTCATAAGAAGATGTTACTTACATGAGGAGTTATTAGTGACCGCAGCAGAGAGGAAGACCAGCTTCAGAAGGTGTGACTGCAGGCTGTGCAAACTTCCTTTCGGCCAGTCATAAAAATGATAACGACCATTGAACAAGTCTTTCAGAGTACTCAAAGAGAATTCCAATATTAAAGGAGAAGCACAGGTGACATACTCGCTGCTCTTTTGATCAAGAAGAGTGCTCTCTTGGAGTAAATTTATCATGAAATGCATGAAATCTACAACTGAAATGTGGTAAGACGAAAAATGGGGCGGATAATTCAACTCAAGCTCGCTCTCCTCCCCAGAGTCTGAAGAAACACTGTTTTGCAATGGATTGATGCGGTTGACTTTTTGCAAAGCTTTCAGCTGGGAGGCTGGAATGGCTACCGGTTCGAATAAAATTTGATCTTCGCCCGAACTAGAGTTTCTGTCGGATGGCTTGAACTTTTTTCTTCTTTTCCTTTTCTTGCTGAGGAAATTTTGCTTTTTCTTTAAAATAAGGTGACTCGGCCACTTCCAACTTATATTGTGAGCTCTATTTCGCTGAGAGAAAATGAAGCAAGATTCAATTGACATATACTTAGGCTTCCTTTGTAAGGCTTCTATAAACAAAATATAAAATAATAAATTGTGAGGCAGAAGTTAAGAACTGACTACATACACATACAATATTTGTTGTTAAAATATTCAGACATGGAAAAGTGAAGATACTAAAGCCCCCCCCCATAGCAGAATCACAGTGACATTGTTGCAGAATGTTACAGAGTTCTTGCAGAAAGATTTCTCTTTTGAAAAGTAAAAAAAAAAAATTTAACTTTTTTCTTCCAACAGAAATTTACACATAATATTTGAATCATGCATTTAGACAATCACTTTTTGACACGCTCAATCTACGACGATAGTAATGTAAATCGACGTAATGTTTCGATCGTATTTGGGCCAGTTAATGATATTGATTTTCACGTGGCTTTTAAATATCCCAATATATTTCAAACAATATAGAAAATTCTAATTGTGCATTTGAGTATTTACTTTTTAAGGCAATAATTCTATAAAATTTTTGGCAGTTATTGCTAATGATTTCTCCATAATTTTTAAATCCAATATTTTTTTATACAATATTATTTATTTCAACAACCTAATGAAACCAAATACGCATTTAAGGAGCACGATTCGTGGGATTTCGTCATCAATCTTTTTCCCCAGAAATTACTACTATGTATTTCACGATTTTTAGTTTTTTTTTATTGTGATGATTATTTACAAAATGCAAAGGAAACAATTTGCGTGCCCCCTTCCCAACAAAATAAGAGAATATTACTCATAATATTAAAACAAAAAATTATTACATATTTTATTTAAAAAAATTATATATATATTTTCTTGTAAACAGAGCACTTTTGTTATTTTAAATTAGTAACATATGTATTTGTTATTATTAAAAGTATCTTGAAGAAAGATATTAGTGCTAGAGAGTTTTGTGGCAGACATCTGAAAAAAATTTCGCCACGGGGCTAAAGCCTAAATATATGCTATTACCCTTCTAAAATGGATATTTAAGATACGTTTTTAATTACACAAAAATTAAATTAGATATAATACTAGATATAACTATTGATTTTATGGACTTATTTAATAACTCCTGATATTACTATGAGCTCTCTTGAAATACGGTCACCCGGTCACCATTTGTGGCAGATAAATTTAGAGTGGCGATTAATTTTTTTTTGTGTTTCAATTAAGATCCAACATTTCTTCACAATTTAATATTTTTATAAAAAAAATCAGTATGCCAATAACATTTTTTTAATATTTTTAATAATATTTTTAGAATAACATTCCCCCCCCCCTATTCTTGCCCATGTTTTTAATAATCAGAGAAAAATCCTATGTTTTCTAATCTTTGCACTGCCATGTATTCCCCAAATTTCAAATTCTACTTTTCGTAATAATATTGTGTAAAAAAAAGGAATTTAAAAAATGGAACCACATGGATTTACTTTATAATCAGTGAAAATTAAACTACCGTGATTGAAAATCAAAAAGTGCTTAGTCATATGCGTGATTCATTGGCCAAATAGTTTCATATGAAAATGTTGGGACTTTCAATATTAGGTAGAAATACATGGGTGTAACAGCCGTGGTTCAAAAAACCAAGTGAATGCTCAACAAAATTGGCAAAAATCGAATCTGTGCTTAAGAAATTATAATAATTAAAATTCCATTAAAAAAAATCAGCATTTCAGAAAACCAGGTAGAAATTGGTAACAGTAATTGCTGAAAAACCACATATATTTAAGATGAAATTGGAACAAAATTGAGCCCATGGAACAAGGATCACTAAAACATGCAATTCAATTGAATGTTAACTTTCACATTAAAATAATGAAAAAACTTATTACTTTCAAATTTATTCAGGGTGCGTAGTCAAATTTTTCAACAAAAAAATTAGCACTTTTTAAGCACTCAAAAAATATTTGTAAGCATTTTAAAAAAAATGTCACAATTAGGATACGGGCACTAATAAAACATTTTCTTGGCACTGCTGAAAATTCTTTATATATATATTAACAAAAAGACATTTATTCAAATTTATAATTAATTTAACTGATATTTAAAAAAAGTTACCGAGTATATTTTTTAGATTTAAATAAAAGTTATTTATAAAAGCATATTCAACAAAATATTAAAAAGATTAATATTATTGATCATACTGAATTATAGTTTACCAATGAAATTAACAAGATAAATAAATTCTTTTTTGCTATTATGGGAAACATTGGCAATCTTTAGTTGGTCCCCATGATCAGCAAAAATTAGAGGGATTTTTCGGTTTGATTTCAGAAGGCGGAAAATGAAGCCTAAAATTGAAAATGTCTTTCAGCACAGTTACACATGCGAGTGCAAGAATTCTTTCCACTCAATCCAGCTCAATAAACGCACATGCTTTCAAGGAAGTATTTCATCATACATGAAAAATGATTAGTGGACCGACCATACGCCGAAATGCATTATGTTTGAATGAATTTTGAAAACGTTAAAATAGAACAATGTGAAAACCAATTTTTCATAATTCGTAGCGAAAATTGACATAATAAAGAAAAACCTCATTTTGGAAAAGGGAAAATTAAACATTTTTTAAAAACACTCAATGAAAAAACACCTTTAAGGGATTATAAAAATTGAAAATAAGCACCTTAAAACATTTTTTAAAAATGCTATGCATCATGTTATTTAAGCATTTTAATAATAATTATTAAACAATGAGATTATTAAATAATAAGGAATGCAACTTCTACCTACAAATTGTATAATTTTTGTACAAGGCTCATGATACTGTAATTTTTCTTTGAAATTTCTTGAGTCACGCGGATTTGGCAGTTTTGACCAATTTGTGACTCAACATAATAATTATAAATTTACATATAAAACCGTGCCATATTGAATTTTATAACATGAAACCCTAAATTCTAAGCAAAAATAACTATTTAATTGCAAAAACATTATACTTGAAATCACATATACATTTTTACAATTTTGTTATTTATTTTAAGAAACTCAATCATATTTTAATATGTTGTACTAAGCATTTCATTTATTTTGTAATAAGTATTTTAAATGTGAGCATTTGATTTTTACGTATGGAAGTATTCATCTAAATTTCGAATAAAAAAAAGAAAAAGACTAGCATTGAGGGAGGTGCTAATATTTTTGCTGGCTACCTATGCTTTTTAAATTCTTGGAGCCCTGATCATGTAAACTACTGGCCCTATTCAAATATTTTGAAGTTACCTCCATCTGTTGATAAGCAATCCTGTACTTACTGATCGAAAAGATATCTTGTCATCAGCTAGCACGATAATTTTTATTATATATACAGTACAGAACCCGTTATCCGGAAATCAGAAAGCCGAAAAACCAAAAAACTGGAACGAAATTCTATAAATTTTCCAGCCATTTTTTAAAATGTTTTTTTTTCCCTTATAAGATTTCAGGATTTTTCTTTCTTTTTTGAAAGATGTTTACCTTACCATCATTTTGGAAATAATCATTAGTGTATTACTCCATCGTTTTTTCTTCTTTTTAAGATTATTTCCAAAAAAAATTTTTTTTAAAGTTAGGTTTAACAATAAAAAAACGGCTTTTTGTAGCGATTCAGAAAACCGGAAAAATCAGTTATCCGGAATAGCGATGGTCCCGATCGTTCCGGATAATCGGTTCTCTACTGTATATATATATATATATATAGACACAAACACAGAGAGAATGGTTGATATATTGATATAAATATACTGTTTCTTACCAGGAATTGTTGAAGAACAATATGGAAGAGACATTAAAACAGGCACATGCAATATCAACAGCTTTATTAAATCTCTTAAACAGAACAAATTCTAAAGAAAAAAGAAAACATTAGGTAATTTATAGTTCTAATATAGATTTTCAAAACACAGATTTTTATGAGTATCAACATGCATACAAATGCTAAGCAAAAAAATGTTAAAATTTTATTGCGTAATTGACTAGAAATTTACACCCTGATACATCATTTTTCCTTTTCCAACATCCTGATAGCCTAATACAGGTCAAAGCCCCATCTGGGCGTTTTCATCTGGCTTAACCAGACACTTAGTTTCCCCATCTATTAATGCAAGTGTTGGGATTTTCATGTCAAAACTGAAAACTTCGACTTTCGCCATTTTTTGATGCGACATGTCAAAAATTGTCAACTTTCACTTTTGCCATTGGAGATATTATATAAGACATTAAATCATGCACAGTACTTCATAATATACTACCATAATTATGTTTTAAAATATTATACGAAACATAACCAAAATTATTGAAATTATTAGTTGGTTTTTCTAAAAATTTGGTACTCGTAACACCTTAAGATCAATACTATTTGCTATATTGCAATTATTTCGTTTATATGACAGATAGCCACGAGTTGTTAATTATTATCAATCTTAAATATTGATTTTAATTCTTTTATGCCACAATTGAGAAAGATTTTTTAGATTAAATAAAACTAAAGTGGTTGCAATAATTGTCTGATTTCAATTTTTTTAATTCTAAATATGTGCTGTTATTACTTATATCTAATCGTGCGGACAAGGTTTTAATCGAAATTCAGGCAACCCTAAGAAATGTTTTGTCCAAAAAGTTCCAACAAAATTGATGAAAAATGTATCATTAGCAAAATTTTTTATTATTAAAAAAACATTATATGTCAGTTAGTGTATTTATTACTAGTTTGAATTACTTAAGTTTATGAGTGTGACGTTAAACTTAATTTAATAAATTATTATTATTTCAAAATATTTTGATTTCTATTATTTTAAACACAAATGCTCATTTATTCAAGAATTGTGCAAAATCAAATCAATTTTTTTTGTTAATGTTTTTATTATATAAAATTTTCAGCAAAATATAAACTGTACTTTTAAAAAATATTTTGAAAAAGTTATTGGACTAAAAATAAGTAACACGTTAAAATTTTTTGCAGAAATTTTGATTTATAAAACAATTTGTACTGAGAACGGATTAGATTAACTTATTAGATAAATTCTTATTTTACACGTTTTTATTTACAATTATTTAATATTTTCTACACCTAAATTTGGATTTTTGACAGTAATTGTGAAAACAAAAAGAGAGCATTCATGTCAAAATAATTCAAGAACATAATTGATTGAGCACTTATAATTTTATAAGTATGTTTATATAATTTCATAGATATCACTTATGATATTATGTGTATATTATCATTTATAAATACTTCATATTTATAATGGCTAATAATTATCCTCACACCAAAATTTTGATGTCAATAAAAGGCTTCTGACATGAAGGATAAAATCATGGTTAATCATGGCTTTCATAAGCTACGGAATGCCGGAATACATTGTGTTTCAATGAATTGTGAAAACGTTAAATAGAACAATGGGAAATGTGCTTTTGCATAATACATGGTGAAAATCAACATGGTAAAGAAAACAAAGCTCATTTTTTAAAAGGGAAAATTAAGCTCTTTTTAAAAACAAACAATAAAAAAAGCCCCTTTAAGGGCTTTTAAAAAATGAAAATCGAAAATAAGCACTTTTTAAAAACCCTGTCTTGGGAAAGTAAGGAAATGTTTTTTTCACTCACTCTTTAAAATACTTTCCTAACAAAAAAGATATGCAAACATACAACCTTACAAAAGAAGGAATCACAAGAAATTCTTTTAAGCTTCGAATCCCAGTTAAGAATTGATTTTGGAACTCCTTTGTGAAAAAACCTTCATTACTTCTAATTCGTTTTGAAGCCTACCTTTTAAATAGTATTAAACAATCAATTAAATATGGTAAAGGGCATCATTCACCTCTGGGATCTACACTCACAGCCTTACTTAAAGTAAATATGAAAATATAAGTGATACGATTGATTGATTGATTGAATGTAGAGGTTTTATGGCACAAGATCCAAAAGAGGATATGCGGCGCCCCTTATCACTAAAAATAAGCAAACCACAAACTCCTCCCTCTGTTAGTTGCTGATGTAATACTTAAATGGTTCCTATCTTATTTCTTTACTAAAACTTTCTTTACAGGGTGAGCAGCCAATTCTATTAACAAAAAATAAGCACTTCTTAAGTACTTTTTAAGCACTCAAATAATATTTTTAAGCACTATATACATTAACAAAATGCAAAATAATTTACAAAGACTTTACATGATCATGATAAAAATAACTAGTTTCTGACAAAGAACTATTTACTAGATTATTCAGTGCGATATCAGAGGGTGGAAAAAGAAGTCTGATATTGAGAATAACTTGCATATGAGAGTACAAGAATCTCACCAAACCCAGCTCAGTCGACGTACATACCAATACGCAAGTATTTCATCAAACATGTATAATGATTGGCGTTTTCATTCACTATGAACCAACAGTAGGCCAAAATGAATTGTGGTTGAATGAACTGTGAAAGCGCTGAATAGAACAATGTGAAAAGCACGCTTTTGCTTAATACATAGCGAAAATTGACATGTTAAAGAAAAAATTTCCCTTTGCAAAAAAGGAAAATTAAACACTTTTTAAAAACACCTAAGGAAAAATGCACTTTTTAAAAACGCTACGCACCATGAATAGAAACGTTTATATACAAATTAAGGAAGATTTTAATACAAAAATCTTTACTTCTTCCTTCTTTGACCTAAAATCTATTTTCTTAAAAAGAGTATAAACCAACTTTTCAAATTAAATAGTATTTAAAAAAATTTTCTAAGGTTTAATTAAGTTTCATAAAAGTAAGGATAATTTTACTTGTATTCCAATATTTTCTAAAGTCCACAGTATTTTCCATCCCCGTCCTTCCAAAAGATATTGCTTAAACGGATCTGACACGTCAGAGGAACTCTGCAATTCAGGAGAACTTTTAACTTTTTCGCATATTTGATACATGTCGGAGAGAAGTTGGTGAGCTAAGATATTTCCAGAACTTCGCCATTGGAAGCTTGTAAAAAAAAAAATTATTATGCACATGAATAAACAATAAAGCTTCAAATTAAAGCTGAAGTAGTAAAATACATACCAAAAGGAATTACTGCTTAAACCACTGGAATCACAAAGAAAACTTAAATATTTCGCCAGAAAAGTATCCAACCAAATATCTCCTTCCTATTAAAATAAAAAACAATTATCAGCCAAAGAGGAAATTAAGCTATAATACTTGTTTATAAAAAATTTTCTTTCTTGAAAAAAGTTTAATATTTAAACAATAATTAAAAAACAAAAAGTTCAAATAATTAAATACTTCAGTCTTCGTAGTGCTTAAAAATTTCAGCCATATCTTGTACAATTCATTAACATCAAATGTATTCATCTTATTTCATCAAAATCTAAAACAAAAGCGATTAAATAAATATTGGAAAATTATTACAATAGACTGTTAGCAATTTTAAACAAAAAAAAAATTTTTTTTTTTACATTTCTAAATTATTTTGATAGCACACATTTTCTGTATGTAGTATTAAAATCATGCGCTACTTTATTTTATAACCTTCTCACACGAAACATTTGGGAAATTGATATATTAAATTTTAAGATACTTTATACAAACTATGACAATTATACATCCTAACACATTAAATTATTTTTTAACAATTATTTTAGTACTTCAATAATGAACACAATTAAAAATAAATTTAATACTATATTTCCGAAACCGAAAACACTTCATTCCGATCCCATGTTTACATACAACTTATGTATCACGTGCAAACTGCTGAGATGTCAACAAGTTCTTTTTTAGTTGTTGGCAATGGGAGCTGCTTATTGTTTTAATTATTGTCTATGTAAGCTACAAACCAGTAAAATTTTATTAATGGGTAATTTCGGAGGGCAAAAATCATAGGGAAACTGCAAATTGAAAAAAGCATAGGGAAACGCGATTTTTCCCCCTCTAAATGGTTGCTGCGCTTTTTAGTCTTGGTCTTCGATGAGACAAGCGATTCATACGTCGTTTTATTATTTATATGCGTCTCATATTATTTTTTGTGTGGTTTAAATAAAATTATATTAAATTTTTTGTTTCATTTTTCTTTCCACCACATATCACTTAACAAATATGGAGGTATAATTAATAAAACGATCGATACTAACGACACCTTCTTTTGCGTTGACCCAAATTTTAAATGTTTTTTCGTTTTGAGCTAGTACTTGATCTGGACCGGAAAATTTTGGTGCAAGAGAAGGCTTTGAAGCATCACATCTGAGAAAAATATGAGATGAGTTTCTAAGTTGAGTTGTGCACGAAGACAGTTTGGTTGCTATGAGAGCTGGTAGGAACTGGTCGTAATTTTGACACACAGTTTTTAATGCACGAATGTAACAGGATCTACGTTTCAGGTAATTACCTGAAACGTAGATCGATTGACTGAGTAAAAGTGGATTGATTAGCAAACGGAGAGCAGTATCATATACCAGTTCGCAAAAGAGGCATTCAGATTCTCTTTTAACACTGATCGAAGACGTAGGAGTTCGGTCTACTGCATCAGTCAACTGTATTGCAATGTAGCATCGAATTTGAACTTGGATGGTAAAGGCTGGTTCTCCCCATTGTAAGTGCCCAAATGCTGAAATAGCGACGTAAAGAGTCGGGATTTGAACTGACGCCCCTGGTCAGTTGAAATCTGTTTCTGAACTTTAAATCGAGAAATCCAAAGAGAGTAAAATGCATTTGCTACAGTATTTGCTGAAATATCCACTAAAGGAACGGCTTCGGACCAGTGAGTTACTCGATTAATGCTGGTAAGAAGATATCCCAGAAAGCACGTTACCTTACGGTAGCCTTATGTCGGAAATGTTTGCACTGAAAGCCTTTTACGAAGAAGCAAAAATATTGTAGTTTCAAACATTTCATCCTCAAATGGATTAAAAATTATATTTCGCGCTTTTTTAAAAAGTATTGTCACAATAAGTGACCTATAGGTAAGAAGGTCACTTAGGTCCATAATTTCTCAGGCGTATCAGTTAATATGCGCGATGTGCGATCAACCATAGAATTAAAAAAAAAATAAAGAAAAAGTTAATAAATTAATTATGGAAAATCAAATAATAATAATTTTAAATGCATACATATTTTTTAAACTTATAATATCATGAGGATGATAATCTTAATACTATGTAGGGACACATGTGAACTGTTCACATCTGCCCCCGATGTTTTGTTCACAAGAGTTGCATCATCCTTCCCTAACTTGAAAAATAAAGAATTTTTAATTGAGTAAAAAAAAATAATAATTGTCAAAAACTTACCGGAATGTTCATATAATGGTCTGCAATAGTTAATTTTAGTTTATTACTTGATTTATACTATGCTTTCAGTTGAAGAAACGAGTGATTATATTATATACAACACCAGTTGATATAAAGAAATTGTCAGAATAGAACAAAAAAATGTCTCATTGTTCTGAAAGTTCTGCAGAGAGGTAGGACTAGTACTGCCATCAATTGAAAATTTTTTCAAGATTTTTTATTTCAAATCATATTGGTAAAACATACAATGTTCACATGTGCCCCCTGTTCACATGTGCCCCCCGCTCCCCTATGCCATAAATTCTTCGGTTGCTGGGGATTGGCATGATGTTTTCAGCTTTAGAAAATTTAAAATCCCTGGGGTTTTTTCTGTTACGTTATTAGTTATAGTAGGGTGTTCAGCTTAGACAATTCTTTCCAATTTTTTTGTAGCCTCCTCCCTAGCTTTTTCGTCAAACCAATTAAATTTGATGCAAGGTACCAGACCTGCAGCAAATAATAAATCGTCCGGCGATTACACATCGCGAAACCTTTCGCAGTTCAAAAGAGCCGTCTTTTCCCTTTCAGGAATGACAATTTTAAAAGGTCAAGGTATTAAAACACGAAGTTAACTGTGAATGCATATATATATTGCACTTTAATTTTATAAATTAAAGAAACAAAAGCATTTTTGTTTAATTTAATTTTTTTTTTAGAAAGCTTACCGAGTTTTAGAAAAAAGTAACGATTTCATTCGAAATTTCCGTTACAAATACTTGTACTTTTTCCCTAAAAAAATAACAAAAGTACAAGTAAAAGTACTAAACTTAAAAAGTAACGAAGTACAAGTAAAAGTACGCACTTTTTACTTGTACCGGCGGTACAAGTAACGAAAGTAAAAGAACTGCCATATATGACTGTGACCCCCCTAAATGGCCTATAAAAATACTCTTCGACAGCCTTGTTTGGATCATAGGCCCCTACTTAGGGTCCGAGTTTGAAAATTATACCTTGATGTTAAAGGGTGCTAGGGGGTCTTGAAATTTGAATCTTTCCTGAGCCATTTTATTTTTTTATTATTTTTTTTCAATATTCCATTACTCTTTATTTGCTGGATTTCACACATAGAAAACACCCCATGCATGCTAGAATATCCGATATGTAACAAAAGAAGTCGAAAAAGAGCATATAAACTGATTTTATCGGATTTTTCCAGTTTTTTCCCATTTTCCCAATAAAAATAATTATTTCCTTCATGCAGGACCCTCCAGAATATCGAAAAAAACATAAAAAAATAATATAATTTAAAATAATTAAAAAAAAAGAAAATTTTTTGAAAATTTGTCCGTCCCTGGGATTTGAACCCCGGACCCCTCCCTTGAACAGTGAACTTGCTTGTCTGGTGGCCTACCTTCCAGTCCACGGTGATACGTGAAGCCTACCACAGTTTCGTTTCAAAAGCTCTCTCCTCTCATCATCGTAATATAACTTTAGGGGCCCACTATGACCTCCCTAATTGGCCTATAAAAATTCTCTTCGGCAGTCTTGTTTGAACCATAGACCTCTACTTAGGGTCCGAGATTGAAAATTATACCTTGATATTAAAGGGAGCTAGGGGGACTTGAAATTTGAACCTTTCGCGAGCCATTTTATTTTTTATTCTTTCTTTATTATTCCGTTACGCTTTCTTTGCTGGATTTCACACACAGAAAACACAGCATGCATGCTAGAATATCCAATATGCTACTAAAGAAGTTGAAAAAGAGCAAATAAACTGATTTTCCTGGATTTTTCCAGTTTTTTTCAAATTTCCCAATAAAAAAAAATTATTTCCTACATTCTGGACCCTCCAGAATATCGAAAAACACATAAAAAAATAATATATTTTAAAATAAACAATAAAGAAAAAAGAAAATTTTTCGAAAATTTGTCCATCTCTGGTACTTGTACCCATGATCCCTCCCTCCCGCTGAGAACTTGCTTGTCTGGGGGCCTACCTTCCAGTCCACGGTAATGCGTGAAGCCTACCACAGTTTTGCTTTAAAAGCTCTCTCCTCTCTTCCTCGCAATATACCTTTAGGAACCCACTGTGACCCCCCTAATTGGCCTATAAAAATTCTCTTCGCCTGCCTTGTTTGGACCATAGATTCCTACCTAGGGACCGAGTTTGAAAATTATACCTTGATATTAAAGGGAGCTAGGGGGTCTTGAAATTTGAACCTTTCTTGAGCCATTTTATTTTCTTATTCTTTTATTTTTTATCATTCCATTACGCTTCCTTTGTTGAACTTCACACACAGAAACACCCCATGCATGCTAGAATATCCAAAATGTTACAATAGAAGTAAAAAAAGAGCATATAAACAGATTTTCCAGGATTTTTCCTGTTTTTTCCCATTTTCCCAATAAAAATATTTTTTTTCCTACATGCAGGAACCTCCAGAATATCAAAAAACACATAAAAAATAATATAATTTAAAATAAACAACAAAATAAAAGAAAATTTTTTGAAAATTTGGCCGTCCCTGGGATTCGAGCCCATGACCCCTCCCTCCTGCTGCGAACTTGTTTGTCTGGTGGCCTACCTTCCAGTCCACGGTGATACGTGAAGCCTACCACAGTTTCGCTACAAAAGCTCTCTCCTCTACTTTTCGCAATATACGTTTAGGGGCCGACTGTGACCCCCCTAATTATCCTATGAAAATTCTTTTCAGCAGCCTTGCTTGGACCATAGTCCCCTACCTGGGGTCCGAGTTTGAAAATTATGCCTGGATGTTAAAGGGAGCTAGGGGGTCTTGAAATTTGAACCCTTCTCGAGCCATTTTATTTTTTATTCTTTTTTTATTATTCCGTTACGCTTTCTTTGCTGAACTTCACACAAAGAAAACACCACATGCACGCTAGAATATCCAAAATGTTACAATAGAAGTCGAAAAAGAGCAAATAAGCTAATTTTCCTGTTTTTTTTCCTGTTATTTCCCATTTTCCCAATAAAAATTTTTTTTTCCTACATGCAGGAACTTTCAAAATATCGAAAAACACATTAAAAAATAATATAATTTAAAATAATCAAAAAAAAAGAAAAAGAAAATTTTTTGATAATTTGACCGTCCCTGGGATTCGAACCCAGGATCCCTCCCTCCTACAGCGAACTTGCTTGTCTGCTGGCCTAACTTCCAGTCCACGGTGATACGTGAAGCCTACCACAGTTTTGCTTCAAAAGCTCTCTCCTCTCATCTTCGCAATATACCTTTAGGGGCCCACTGTGACCCCCCTAATTGGCCTATAAAAATTCTCCTCAGCAGCTTTGTTTGGACCATAGATCCCTACCAGAGGTCTGAGTTTGACAATTATACCTTGATATTAAAGGAGGCTAGGGGGTCTTGAAATTTGAACCTTTCTCGAGCCATTTTATTTTTTTATTCTTTTTTTTTATTATTCCATTACGCTTCCATTGCTGAACTTCACACACAGAAAACACCCCATGCATGCTGG